ACTAACACTTTCATATTTCACAATAGATACACATATTTGCTGTATCAATATCATATTAAAACACTTCCATACTTCACAATAGATACACATATTTGCTGTATCAATATCATATTAAAACACTTCCATACTTCACAATAGATACACATATTTGCTGTATCAATATCATATTAAAACACTTCCATACTTCACAATAGATACACATATTTGCTGTATCAATATCATATTAAAACACTTCCATACTTCACAATAGATACACATATTTGCTGTATCAATATCATATTAAAACACTTCCATACTTCACAATAGATACACATATTTGCTGTATCAATATCATATTAAAACACTTCCATACTTCACAATAGATACACATATTTGCTGTATCAATATCATATTAAAACACTTCCATACTTCACAATAGATACACATATTTGCTGTATCAATATCATATTAAAACACTTCCATACTTCACAATAGATACACATATTTGCTGTATCAATATCATATTAAAACACTTCCATACTTCACAATAGATACACATATTTGCTGTATCAATATCATATTAAAACACTTCCATACTTCACAATAGATACACATATTTGCTGTATCAATATCATATTAAAACACTTCCATACTTCACAATAGATACACATATTTGCTGTATCAATATCATATTAAAACACTTCCATACTTCACAATAGATACACATATTTGCTGTATCAATATCATATTAAAACACTTCCATACTTCACAATAGATACACATATTTGCTGTATCAATATCATATTAAAACACTTCCATACTTCACAATAGATACACATATTTGCTGTATCAATATCATATTAAAACACTTCCATACTTCACAATAGATACACATATTTGCTGTATCAATATCATATTAAAACACTTCCATACTTCACAATAGATACACATATTTGCTGTATCAATACTTCAATTTAATACACATATTTGCTGTATTACTGGAGTCCATCCCCTAGCTCCTCCTAAACAGGTTTGAGAGTCCATCTCCTATTTTCCCTCAAACCATGGAGTACATCCCTTATCTCTTCTCACACAATACACATATTCCAAGTATGTAAACAATTATCATATACAGAGATCACTCAATACACAAATTTAATGTATTATTCCAACTGTCATATTCAATGACATATTCAATGTGATTAGTTTCAGTTTTCCCTAATCAACATACAGTGTCTACAACAATCAAGACTATCCTCCACCGATAGCCCAAAGCAGTTATTTATAAACTGAAAGTAAATGTATTAAATAGATATAATATCAACTTACTCCATGGGTGAGTGATTAATTTATTCAACTACAACATTCAATCCCATAATTTTCCAATTTCATTATTCTCAACTCAATTCCATATTTCCACATTTTTCCAAAATTAATTATACAAATTAATTTAGTTCATAATTAGGGCATTCCTCCCCCTTTATCACATTTCAACCCAAAGGCTCAAATTCAACAATACGACGACATTAATTCCATTTTTGTTGGTCTCAAACACCCATAGGATTTAACATTTTGAAAACCCCTATTTTTATAAATTACAAATGAAACCCTAACCTTTCCAAAAATTACCCAACAACCCCAACATATCAAAATGTCCAAAATTTATGACAAAACTCATAAAATGGAGTAGGGTATCCCTACCTCGAAATTAGAAGCCCAAAGGAGAAGATGGTGAACACCCGAAATGCTCCAAATCCACAACTTTTCAGATTAAAACGAAGCCCAAGCCACCCTCTATCTTTTTTACAAAGGACTTAGAGTAGGAACACACTAAAACTAGATGAATCCCTAGAGAGAAAGTATGTAGAGAGAGAGAGAGCTCGGATCTAGGGTTTGCAAAACAAAAGAGATGAAAAAGTGAAGTGTTTACCTGCTGCTGTCTACTGATAAAACACAGGCTCGCTCGAGCGAAGGATTGGTCGCTCGAGCGACCAGACACAAAGAACTCTCGCTCGAGCGTAGAAAGCCTCGCTCGAGCCAACAATGCGAAGCTTCAGGTCTACAACCCAGAAACACGCTCGAGCGACGAAACCCAAAACATACACCTCGTTCGCTCGAGCGAAGAATTGCAACCTTCAGGTACAGCACGCAGACGCAGACGCAAGCTCGAGCAAAGGACTTCTCGCTCGAGCCACCAGATACAAAACTCAACTCTCACTCGAGCGAAGGAACCCTGGCTCGAGCGAAGGATCTAAAACACAGATCTCGCTCGAGCGACAAAAGGCTCGCTCGAGTGAATGACCAAGGGTTTGCAAAACAAAAGAGATGAAAAAGTGAAGTGTTTACCTGCTGCTGTCTACTGATAAAACACAGGCTCGCTCGAGCGAAGGATTGGTCGCTCGAGCGACCAGACACAAAGAACTCTCGCTCGAGCGTAGAAAGCCTCGCTCGAGCCAACAATGCGAAGCTTCAGGTCTACAACCCAGAAGCACGCTCGAGCGACGAAACCCAAAACATACACCTCGTTCGCTCAAGCGAAGAATTGCAACCTTCAGGTACAGAACGCAGACGCAGACGCAAGCTCGAGCAAAGGACTTCTCGCTCGAGCCACCAGATACAAAACTCAACTCTCACTCGAGCAAAGGAACCCTGGCTCGAGCAAAGGATCTAAAACACAGATCTCGCTCGAGCGACAAAAGGCTCGCTCGAGTGAATGACCAAAATTCTGGGCAACAACCATTTGCTCCCAATCACACCCAACCTGTAACAAATCTGCCCAACACATCCTATAACTCAAAAATAAGGAATCAAAGGATGACATCAAGATATATACAACAACAAGCTCCACGAAACCTAAGTCGGATACAACAACCAAATGGGGAAAAACCGGGATCGCTATAACTAAAATTCAAATATAAGGAATTAAAGGACGGAAACAAGACATAAACAAAACCAACTCCACGGAACCTAAGTCTAAAATACAATAAACAAAGGAGAGAAAACCGGGATCGCTATAAACCGACCTGCGCCCACCCCTAATTGGAAGTATGTGTGGAGGAGGATTTAGCTTGTTTGGTTTGGTTTTTTAAGTTTTATTTTTCTTAAATTGAAATTTTTAATTTTTTTTGTATTTTTTTTGTTTTTATTGAATTTTTTAATATTTTAAATAAATATTTTAATTTTTTTTAGAATAAATCTAATATAAATATACTTAAAAAGTATAATATTTGTGATTTTTTTTTTTAAAAATTCAGTAAATATAAAAAATATAAAATATATGAAAATCCAGTACATTTTTGTATTTTTGTGTATCTATTGATTTTTTAAAATATTTATTTTACAAATATTTTATTTTTTAGATATATCTAAGCAAGGTACATATAAAAAATTAAATAAAAAGTTGGTTAAAATTTTAAAAATATTCGTTAAAAACAAAAGAACACGACAAATAAAAAGCTTAATTTCTAAAAAATTCAATCCAAAAAATTGAACAAAACACATTGATTATTTTTCCTATTGCATAACCCTTAGTTTTTCCTTTGTATTGTTTTAAAACGAAAATTCTACAAAGGTTACTACAGGCTTCTCCAACAGTGCATTAATTTTTCATTAAATTTGAATAAAAATTTCATTTGATATCAAGTGTTCCAATGGTAGGTTTTGTAATTTCATCAAACCACCGGTTGATCAACTGGCCGACTAGCCCGTTGACCGGCCAGTATAATTTTTTCACAAAATTTTGCCTTGAGTTCGCCATCTAGGAGACATCTGGTAGTGAAAATCGAACTGCAATGAACAGTGATTTGATGAAAGCCACATTAGTTCTCAATTTGATGAAAGAAAAATGAAATTCTGAATTTGATACGTGTTTAATGAAATTGTTGAAATAGGAAAATAAGCTATTTTTTATCAAATTTAAATTTGATGACAATTTTAAATAATCATAAAAAATGATCTAAGTCAGTAGTTGAGATAACTTGTATAAAATTAAAGTGACTCAAAATTTAAGTTACTTGAATTTAAAAATATGCCCCATTTGTTGTTTACGAGAAATGGTTGCGATTTTATATTAAAAAGTTTGGTACAATTTCTAATCAAAATTTATGAATTAGTATAATTTAAGGTTGCCGTTTTTATATTTGATCACTTTTTTACTTTGAATTTTTAAGTTTATTTTTTCTACTTTAACCCTTTATATTTCAAGTTTTTTTTTTCACTTTACTCATAAAGTTAACTTCTATTTAAAATTAGATAGAAAATGCCAAAATAACTATCACATAACATATAAATATACTATTATATTAGAATTTAAGTTTATGTTAGAGGTGTGAGTCATATATAATAAAATATTTTTATGTCACGTAATTGATAATGTGTCATTTTTTGTCTAATTTTTAAAAAATAGTTGTAGGAGTTAAATGGAAAAAAATTTGAAATATAAAGGATCAAAATAGGAGAAAATAAATTTAAAGAATCAAAATAAGAAAGTGACCAAACATAAAATGAGTAAATAGCAATTTACCTATAATTTAAAGATAAAGTTCAAATTCTTTATTTTTAGTATCATATCTAGATTTTAGCATTCACAATTCTTCTTACATTACAAATATTTTTACTTTATTTTATTTTATTTTATTTAAAGTTTTCTAAATTATTCATGACATAATAAGGACTTATGTTTTGGAGACCTTTTTTATACATTTAATTTTTTAGATACTTCTAAATTATTATATATTCGCGAAAATTATAGAATAAGGACTTATCTTTTTAAATTTTTTTATACATTTAATTAATTTAAAAAAAAAAACATTTCTTACATTTTTTCATGTTTTACAAATATCTCAAGAATAATTTATGAAACACAAATATTTTAGTACCCAATTTGGATTAGATTGCAAGAAATTTCTTAAAGTTTAAGATTAGTCAAGAAAAAAAGTTTAAAAATAAAAGGAAAATTTCATGCCCAATATGCCCCCCACAATAGTAACAAATACCAACCCGACCCCATCATTTAGGCCCCTCTCCAATTTCCTGCTAACAGACCCAACTCCCATCTTATCCAGTTTGGTTCACTGAAGAGAGAGAGAGAGAGACAGAGACAGAGAAGAGAATGGCGATGGCGTACGCTTCGTCGCTGGTTATGTTCACGTCTCCTTCGCCGAAACCCTACTATGCCTCTCTGCAGAAGACTCAATTTCTTGGGTTCCCTGTCGCAGCATCATCCAAGCCGTCCATTCGACCTACATCCCTCAATCGGACGTTCTGGATTCGTTGCCAAGACCAAGCCGTTGTGCCCTTGGAACAGCGGTGGATGTTTGACGAATCTGTCGCCAAAGGCCCAGTAAACTCTCTCACTCTCTCTGAGTGTGGTCTATTTTATGCTTTGTTTGGTTACTGGGAAAATGCAGGAACAAAAAAGAAACTGACTTTACAGTGTGATTATGTCATTGTTTTCTAATATGCTTGTTTGGATACTGAGAAAGTGTAGGAAACGAGAAGAAAATTAATAAATTCGAAATTTAGATATTTCATTGGTTGAGAATCTTGAGAAAAAAAAAATTTCACTGAGCTTGTTGAACTCAATTCCCCAATTCTTGAAAACCAGGTATCTAGAACTTCAAGTCCCAAAATTCCCCCATCCCCGAAAGTAACCTTCAGAACCATCCATTGCAGGCCAAGTTAGTGATAATGATGATTTTAATTCGTTGGGCTTCATGATAATATCATATATGAATCTAAAAAAAAAAACTTGTGAAGAAGAAGAAGAAGAAGAAGAAGAAGAAGAAGAAGATGACTCAAATAACTTGTTTAAGCTTACTGGGCTAAGCTTAACTCTGATAGTTTACTTAAATTTCAATGTACATTATCAAGTCATCTTTTTAATTGGATATTGCTAAAAGTTTATTTGGGTAAGTTTCTTATGAGATTCTGTTACCATGAGAACACTATACCTACCAATTCTGTCCACAAGCCTGATTCCCAGGGTTGGTTGATCCTGGCTTGTCTAGCAACTCAGCGTGGAAGTTATGCTGTAGTTCATTAAAGTAGTGACAAACATGCAATTGGGTGAGAATTATTGTCAGCTGGATATGTGCAGACTTTGCAATTTCGAAAATTTTGAGCTATAAATAAAGTACTATAATTTATATTGTTGACAATATCTTCTTGAAAGTATTAACTTCAAGTTTGAGAATCATCATGAATGTCTTTGGGGAAAATGGACTTGAAGACTGAGTTGTAACTGTATGTAGTAATGTGTTTTTCTTTTCTTTTTTTTTCTTTTTTCCTTCTGCTTTTTTATAATAGCTCTGCTGGTCTTTCATCTCTAATTTTAAAGTGGGATCTATCTAATCAGGTGCTCTCTCTCTCTCTCTCTCTCTCCATTCCTTTCTTTTTCCCAGGATATTTGGAATAAGACATGGTACCCTAAAGCCGCAGATCATGTGAACACAGATAAACCATGGTATATTGTTGATGCTAGTGATAAAATTCTTGGAAGATTAGCGTCAACCATAGCTATTTATATCCGTGGGAAAAATCTGGCAACCTATACTCCTAGTGTAGACATGGGTGCATTTGTCATTGTGGTAAGTACGACATATAAAACTTCTAATTATGCAGATTTTTTCCGCTCCATATTTATTATTATTATTTTTTGATAGCAATGCACATAAACTACCTTATAATAGCTTGAATAGTCTTGACAAGTTTCATTAGAAATTGAGGACTCCCCTTATCTGATGTTTCTGACCCATAACATGCATCTTGGGAAGACATTAAAAGTTTTTGACTCAACACTCTTATGTTTAGTTATTTTTGGCTAACAATTAATTAATTGTATTATTATAATAATCTTTTTCTTCTTCACCAGACATCTAAGTTCTACAGTGGCTGATGTCTGCATGAATGGTCATTAAATGTTTCTTTGACATATAATAGCTACAAAATAGTTTCACAAAATCCTGAACTTTCTCGTTTTGCTTGAACTCAAAAAGGTTAATGCAGAAAAAGTTGCGGTCTCTGGTAAAAAGAGGACCCAAAAGCTCTACAGGAGGCATTCAGGAAGACCAGGAGGAATGACGGTTGAAACCTTTGATCAGCTCCAAAAAAGGATTCCTGAAAGAATTATTGAACATGCTGTCCGTGGCATGCTTCCTAAAGGGAGGGTGAGTATTTATTAAGTTTGTAGTTCTGCTTGTATTTTCTACTTGTTGACAGAGTAATTGCAAAATGAAGGACTAAATCTATAGAGCTAGGCATGACTCCTTTATTAAGTTACAAACCAGCTAAGTATCTTAATGTTTTAGCTGCAAGAGTTTTAGCAAGTGTCTTGCTGCTGTTCACAATGCATGCTATCAGAAGTTGGTATATGTCACCATGGTAAAAGTCTAAAGCTGAAATATGAATTAAGTGATTTGTGCACCAAAATAGGAGTCAATTTAGAAGAAATTGAAAGGTATAAAGGTAGTTGGCAATCTTATTGTTCTTTGGTTATTCTACTTATACCCATAAAGCATAATATGATCCTTAGCCTACTCGTATTTGTAACTTAACTGGTTAGAGATATTTGTTGTGCTGCTTACCAGCATTTAACATATTTTTGTGCTTATTCATATTTTGACTTTGTAACTTTTGCTTGTTTTTTATTTTTATGATTCTATTAAAATCATGCTAATTCGTGCCCTACTGAGCAGCTTAGAATTTGCTTGTTCTGTAGCTTGGTAGAGCCCTATTCAACCATCTTAAGGTGTATAGCGGCCCTGACCATCCGCACGAGGCCCAGAAGCCCATGGATCTGCCTATAAGGGACAAGAGGATACAAAAGCTAACATAGGTTCAAAAGCAAACTCAACCAGGAGATGCCGTAAGCAAGCTTTCTCTCTTTTTCTAGGAGGTTCACATCTTCTCTATCTTTTTTTTGCTCGTATGGGGTTCCTTTTCATTATTTGGCTCCCTTGCCACAATAAATGGCTTCTTGTTCATGTTTTTATTTTTATTGTAGAGGCATTTGGTTACAGTGTTGCCCATATTCGAGCCTGTTGTTTAGTAGATAATTTTACTATGGCTCCCCCTTTTTATACACCATTGCCTTGTGTTGAACATATGCATGTTCATTCTATCCATTTCTGGCTACCCTCAGTGGCGTCAAGTTTTAATACTCTGCTCTTATTCTCTCTTATGAATTGTGATCGTACATCACATTGACTTGATAATCCTGCAATATAAAGAAGTAATAAAATCTTAGAATCTATTTTTAAGAATATTTTAAATTATATAAGTTTGTATCTTAGTTTTTTTTTAAGGTATAATTTTTTAAATACATATTCAAAATAAATATACAACTCAAAATGCATTGGCTCAACGTTTTTTGAAAATAAGATTGTAAAGGATCTGGTTCGAAGTATCAGGGACTCCACCAAAGGGTGCAATCCATTACCCTTGGGCCACTTCCTCCGTAAATGGAAGGGTGACCATCTTTTCGTAACTGCAAGAGGAGCGTTACATCAAGCAAAGTGACTGGCATTCTAATCCCCCTCAACACCTCCTTCATGACGGCCATGGCCGGTGGCAACTGCCTTGGATATGTTGATCCCGACACCGGTTTCATTTGGCCCTTGCAGGAGTTTGCTTTTGGTTCCTTCCATTCTGAACCACTGATCACAACATAAACGAACACAGTAATGAGATTAATAATATATTTTACGCATACTTTTCAACATTGTTAAGGTCTACATTATATCATAACAAGAAGAGAAACAAATATTTTACCCCCCATTCAACAATTTTCTGCATGTTAAATTAATTATCCTTAGTTTTTTTTTTTTTCTTCTTTTTTTTTTTTTTTTTTTTTTTTTTTTTTGGAAGTTGTTTTTCACTGAAAGGTGTAGTAAGGAAGGTTCAGAATTTGTGTGCACAATATCAAATATAATCCTCGGCATATGATAAATTAAACCCAAGCCCAAACTCAGATTAAATCCTACATTTCAACAAAACCAAGTGGGAATGAAATGAAGGATAGTGATGCAAGTTATTTTGTTTTGAAACTTCTCTCCAGTTGGACTAGTGTGCAATCCAAAATTCTGTGCAATAATGTTAGGGAACCCGGAAAAATGGCCTAATAACCTTGAAGTTATGGGTTCAAATCTTGGGGTAACCACTTTGTGCATTATACCAAAGGTTAGGTGTGTATGTAATCTTTCTCCTCCCAAACATACATTAATGTGTACTATTTGGACCTTTTCTTTTTTTTCTTTTTTTTTCACACCACACTTCATTTTCTGATGACTTTTTTGGACTACCTATCTTTTTTCCAAATTCTTTGAGAGGTTGACAAGTTCCACAATGTTCATATTCAGAGGAAGAAAAAAAAATCTATGTGGAGCTTACATGTAAGGAATTGGAGAAACTCCTTGAAAGAAAACCAGAGTTTTGTTAGAAACAACATTGGTGTCCACCCAACGACCCCAGGCTATGAGTGCTTGCTCCATTGCATACAGTCGGTTCATGTCATTTACTACTGGGTTTCCCAGTTGAATATAATCCCATCTACAAAACTCACAACAATTATGAATTATTAACTTGAAAATTGCAAATAATAATTCAAAGTTATTTGGAACTTTTCAAAAGGAGGAAAAAAAAAAAAAGAAGAGAGAAAATATGAGTAGTTTGTAGTTACTAACGGTTGGGTAACTCCTCTGCGGTACCACCAATACCAAATGTTGAAGATGAGCATGTCTATTCCTATCCATTTCCTCCCACCTTGAATTGAGTTGAGTTTCAAGATTTTGTCCGTATTCTCCCTTACCACATCCACCAAAAACAGGCTTTGATTGTACATTACTTTAAGCTTATAATCCTGCATTATAATAAATTTTTAGATATGGTCAAAACAGCTGTACTACACGTGCACAAAATAGAGACAATGGTTTGCCTTGTTGTATATTAGAGGACATATATACTTGTAGATTGTAATGAAGTTCCTTCTTTCATATTATAACTAATATGGATCAATGTGCCATGGACAATAGAAAGTTAATCTTAGGTTCCACACAGGAGGGCACACTTAGCATGGTCTCTTCAACAAAGGCACTTTAGTGGCACACTTCACACGTGGCATGTAGATTACTTAGTTCCTAAATGTCCCTACAAAATTTATAAATTAGAGATTTTTTTTACAGATTTCTATATCTCTATCATATCTTTCCCCTTCTCTACTCTCTAGTCAGTATTAGTATTTTAGAGAGGAAACCTATCAAATGGGTGCAAATATTCTTAATGAAACTGATTCATCACACATCAAAGATAATAGTAACATTCTTTTTCTTTTTTTAAAAAAATTTAGTAGCAGCTGAAGTAATTAGAGCAGGTAGAACATACCGTGAAAGTGAATGTAGAGATGGTATTGATTTTATGTTGTGTGTATTTCAATGTGGGTGTTGTGGTGTAGAGCATGCATATTAGTGACTGCCACTGGTTTCGATTCATAGAGTCCCCCACAAAAATGATGTCTCTTCAATACCGTACGACCATCACATCTACAACAACAAAAAACAAAAGATGGTTTTTTATACTGTTCTTGTATCATATAGTCGACTGCTTTTCACTTTTATAAACTAAATACCGCCTATCAAATATATCATGTCATACCAAATCCATGAAAATTTCATGTCATTACCGGTTGTTGATTGAGTCTATTAAATTGACGATGGAAAATACATAATTACAAGATAGTGATCTTTTTGCTTGGTTCAATTACAAGATTGTATAGAACTCACAATTTTACGAGTGTTTGTGTCTCATTCTGTAGTTGTGACTGAGCGAGGAGAGACTAGAGAGTACCTAGGTAAGAGAGGTCAGGGCGGCCATTTTTGCGGCAATTGAAATCATTCTCAATGAAAGGGCATTTCTTGGAGTTGAAGAGAGGGTAGGATGAGTCCATCACCCAACTCCCCTTGAAGTAATCACATTCACATTTGCACTTTCCTACTAGTTGTTGTAGCAAAACAACAATGAGCAGTGCACTATACCAAAGGTTAGGTGTGTATCCAATATTTCTTCTCTCAAACATACATTAATATGTACTATATGGGCATTTTTTTTTTAATTTTTTATTTTTACACCACACTTCATTTTCTGATGACTTTTTGGACTACCTATCTTTTTTCCAAATTCTTTGAGAGGTCTACAAGTCCCACAACGTTTGTATTCAGAGGAAGAAAAAAATTTATGTAGAGCTTACTTGTAATGAATTGGAGAAACTCTTTGAAAGAAAACCAGAGTTTTGTTAGAAACAACATTGGAGTCCACCCAACGACCCCAGGTTATGAGTGCTTGCTCCATTGCAGACAGTCGGTTCATGTCATTTACTACTTGGTTTCCCAGTTGAATATGTTAGAATTTCCCATCTTTACCTTCACCTACTCCACTACACACTCCACTTCACCTACCTCTACTCCACTACACACTCCACTTCACCTAACCCACTATCACCTCCACTACACCTACTACCACATTTTCTTCTATATATAGATTGTATAGGAATTGTAATAATACATAAATTCTTACTGAATATAATCCCATCTACAAAACTCACAACAATTATGAATTATTAACTTGAAAATTGCAAATAATAATTTAAACTTATTTGGAACTTTTCGAAAGGGGAAAAAAAAAAGGAGAGAAAATATGAGTAGTTTGAAGTTACTAACGGTTGGGTAACTCCTCTGCGGTTTGAAGATGAGCATGTCTATTCCTATCTATTTCCTCCCACCTTGAATCGAGTCTAGTTTCAAGATTTTGCCCCTATTCTCCCTTACCACATCCACCAAAAACACGCTTTGAGCGTACATTACTTTAAGCTTATAATCCTGCATTAGAATAAATTTTTAGATATGGTCAAAACAGCTGTACTAAGTGCACAAAATAGAGATAATGGTGTGCCTTGTATGTTGGAGGACATATATACTGGTAGATTGTAATGAAGTTCCTTCTTTCATATTATAACTAATATGGATCAATGTGCCATGGACAATAGAAAGATAATCTTAGTTTCCACACTGGAGTGCACACTTAGCATGGTCTCTTAGGGCGCCAAAGGTGCTTTAGTGGCACACTTCACACATGGCATGTAGATTACTTAGTTCCTAAATGTCCCTACAAAATTTATAAATTGAAGTGTTTTTTTAACAGATTTCTATATCTCTATCATATCTTTCCCCTTCTCTACTCTCTAGTTAGTATTAGTATTTTAGAGAGGAAACCTATCGAGTGGGTGCAAATAGTCTTAATGAAACTGATTCATCACACATCAAAGATAATAGTTTCATTCTTTTTCTTTTTAAAAAAAAATTTAGTAGCAGCTGAAGTAATTAGAGCAGGTAGAACATACTGTGAAAGTGAATGTAGAGATGGCATCGATTTTGTGTTACGTGTATTTTAATGTGGGTGTTGTGGTGTAGAGCATGCATATTAGTGACTGCCACTGGTTTTGACTCATAGAGTCCCCTACAAACATGATGCTCTTTCCTTCAAATCTCTTCAATACCACACGACCATCAAATCTACAACAAAAAACAAAAGACGGTTTTATACTGTTCTTGTATCATATAGTCCACTGCTTTTCACCTTTATAAACTAAATACTGCCTATCAAATGTATCATGTCATACCAAATCCATGAAAATTTCATGTCATTACTAGTTGTTGATTAAGTCTTTTAAATTGATGATGGAAGATACATAATTACAAGATAATGATCTTCTTGCTTGGTTCAATTAGAAGATTGTGTAGGACTCACAATTTTACGAGTGTTTGTGTCTCATTCTGTAGGTGTGACTGAGCGAGGAGAGACTAGAGAGTACCTAGGTAAGTGGCAGCCCTGTGTAGCTGCCACTTGTATTTGAGGTAACAGAGGTCAGGGCGGCCATTTTTGAGGCAATTGAAATCATTCTCAACGAAAGGGCATTTCTTGGAGTTGAAGAGAGGGTAGGATGAGTTCTTCACCCAACTCCCCTTGAAGTAATCACATTCACATTTTCACTTTCCTAGTAGTTGTTGTAGCAGAACAACAATGAGCAGTGCACTAAAACTGCAAGTAACTAAGATTGCCATCTAGAGAGAGAAACAGATGGTTAATTACACACACACGCGCATTGTAGAGGGTCTGAACCTTGTTAAGGACAGGAAAATGACGTGATAGTGATATATTTTTTTAAATAAGTCATTTTTTATGGTCTGAAATGAATAAATTACATATACATATATCATTCAGGATAGACTCTCTGTATAATCTCTGTTTTTTATCCTGTTATTTGTAAGGAAATTAATGTTATTTCCCAAAGAAAATTACTAGAGATTATGCTGTGATTTAAAGGGTTGTATACATTTATATCAGAACAGACTGCTTTTGCATCTTCATTATAGGATCCAAATCCTCTGCCCCATGTCTCTCATCCCTTAATTTCGGTGATGTGGCAATAAGAAGGGTATGGGGCAGTGGATCCAGTGGCTACTTTACCTTACATCTTCATTATAATGATCATTTATTAACTTTTAAAATTAGGACTCAAGTCAATTTACTCGGGTTGGGTTTGTTCATTCTAAATGATGATTGGTTCGATTCTTGGTTAAAAAACTTGAAAACCGATTAAATTAGCTCAATTATGAATTTGAATTTTACCCAAATCAATCCAACCCATACACATCTGAAATACAGCGGTTTTGACTCTCCTCATTCATAGATAAAATGAAGATTTTCATTTCATTTCTTGAGACACTGACATTTTGTTTCATTGATGGAATTTTGATCAACCATTGATCAAGAAATGGAGGTTATATAAATCCAATCATTAGCATGAGTCTTGTAATATTGCTCTCCATACTTTATCAACACTTCTCCAAATTAAAATTTATTGAAATGGGTACCCAAAAAAAAAAAGAGAAAACACCTAGCCAAATAAATGGCATGCACTAAAAATTGTATTGCTTACTTGGGGAAAGAATAGCTATATCTAATCAAATTTTTCAATGATAACTCATGAGTGCATGGCTTTATTGTTTAAGATGATATTATAAAGGATCTGGTTCCAAGTATCAGGGACTCCAGGGAGACACCAATGGCTGCAATCCATTCCAGTGCGGCCACCGAGCCCGTATATAGAAGGATGCCCATCCTTTCGCAATAGTGAGAGGTTGGTTATGTCGAGCAAAGTGATAGGCTTCTTGATTTTGCTCAATGCCGCCTTAAGCACTGCCACAGCGGGTGGTAGGCCTCCTGGATAGGTTGAACCCAACAAGGGTTGATGCTGCCCCTGGCAGGTCTTTGCTGTTGGTTCATTCCAGTCTGTGCCACTATTTATGTATAGTTTAGGAACACAATCAGAATAGAGTTAGTTCATGCATGATTTTGACACATTTGATGGTATCCCAAATTTAATACCCTAATTTGAGTAATATTAGTGACATAGATTAATAGAAAAACTGCGCAATATAATAAAGAGAAATTACTTGTAATGAGAAGGAGAGATCCCTTGGAAGAAAACCATGGTTTTGGATGGGTCAATGTTGGAGTCCACCCAACCACCCCATGTAGTGAGTGCCATCCGGAATGCAGCCATTCTGTCCATGTCTTTGTAGGTTTTGTTTCCTACTTGTATATAATCCCAACTGCATTTTCACAGCAATTCAAACTAAATACAACTTTTCAAAGAATTAGGAGAATAATCAGAAAACTAATAGTAAATCAATAATTAATGGAGTGCAAGTGAGACCCAATTCTCATTTGCAACTTTATTGATTTGCATTATTTTAATCTAAAATTTATTTATTTATTTTCAAAAAAATAAAAATAAAAATTAGGGACATTAGTTAGGACTAACGGTTGTGCAGCTCCTCTGCGATTCCACCAATGCCATGTGTTGAAGATGAGCATGTCAATTCCTTTCCACAGCTTGCCACTCTGGATTGAGTCAAGTTTTAGGACTCTACCAATGTTTTCCCTCACTACATCTACCAAATAGACATTGCGATCAAGCATCACTTTCACGCCAGAATCCTGAAAAATTAACATAATTATTTAGCTGATGTAACTAGCAAATATGTACATAAACACACCACTTGTATATATCTCCTTAGGTGCTCGTCATTTGAAATGCGTCTTGGTCCGAATTCAATACTAAAATCATCTTACATGGTAGCATTCGAGAGTTTTATGTTGTTAATTTTGAAATATCTGCATCATAGCCCTTTTCTAGTGAGGTAGGTGGCATCAACATTTTTTAGACTGGATGACACCACTAAGCAAAATCCTTTTGTTTTTAATAAACAGTCGCACCCCCACTAATCAATAAAAAGTCCCATATGAGACAAGACTGATATTATTATCACTCAATTTACTGACCAAATAATATCACCCACTCATTTGAGATATAAGTATTTAAGTAGTTAAGCAGTTTCAATCAGAAGGAGATAACCTACCTTCAATAAGACCAAAATGCATCAAACAAGAAATTAATTTTTTTCCCAACAAGTCGTATCAAAATTTGTTTGCTTTGCCAGGAAAGTGAAAGCTAGACAGACAACCACATGGTTAGTTAAAACCAGGGCAAAACAAAAGTCCTTTTAGAGTGACACCACTCAAAATGCATAGTCTGTGTCTGTCTGTCTGTTCTGTAGCTTTAAAACAAGAGCCTTAAAAGAGCTTTAATAGAGGAGATCCATCTATTGATGTGATGTGTGTTTATGTTTTCATTTTTATTTTTTATTTATTCATTGCCATGTACGTAAAATTTATTTTAGAGCTCTCTATCACTTCTGTACAAATATATATATATATATATAGATGATGATAGTGATGAATGAGGTTCACATGTCAGATCTAAGCTTCATGTGACATAGAACATGGGTAGCAATTGAGCTGGCCATGGTCCGTAAGTCTTTGCTTAAAATCCTCTTTTTCTTTTCTTCATCTTTTTTATTGTGTGATGATCAACCATGATATTTTGTTGTACTTGTAGAAGTGGGTTCACACATTGTTCTACTTTTATAGCACTAGATCTACCGACATCATCATTAATATCTTTCTCTTTTTTGCATACTAGGGAAGGGAGTGAGTGAGTTCGAATTCTTTTCTTCTATTTAATATTTTTTTTTAGTCTTTCATTCCCAGGAAAAAAAAAAAAAAAAAACCCACGTATAATTTTTTTTTTTTTAAAAAAAAGGGTTGGACGGATCTAAGAAATAATTATCTCTCCATAGGATGCCTCTCTTAAAATGGGTTCATAGTCAATCTATAGACAAGTTTGAATGATTGATTATGTAAAAATTTCTAGTGTACTTTGTATTAATAGAACTCGCAACACCTATAATCAATGCACAAAAAAAAAATTCAAAAAGTATAATGTATGATCTATAATAAAAAAAAGTTGAATCTGAACTACATATGATAAATTTATATATATGAGTTCTGGATGATAGCTTTATTGTAAAATTAAATAACACTATCAATGAGTTGGGCGTTACCATGAAAGTGAATGTAGAGACATCATCAACTCTGTCAATGGTGTAATTGGCATTAGGAACACTAGTAGAGAGCAAGCAAGTCAGTGATTGCCACTGGTTTCTGCTCAGTGAATCTCCTACAAACATTATCTTCTTCCCTCTCAACCTCCGCAACAAGTCTTCACCATCAAATCTAACCCCCCCAAAAACAAAACACAAATCTCAATTTTGTATATGCTATACATTTAACAATAAATTATCACTGTATTTAAACTATTTAATTGAATAAAAATCGATTATCCGTATGAGCATTACAATTTTCAGTAATATAAGAACTGTAAAAATTATATAAATAGTGAAAAGACTACAAGTATTTTGTGAATGAGAAGAATGAAGTGGACATAATTGAAATTTGAAGATGTTAAGCACCTTGTACAACACTCTGCACATATATTAAAATTTATTTTGAACCTTTAGTCAAAAAACTGAATTGTAATCAACCAATCTTAGTAATTTTTTAGAATTGAAATCAAATTGTCCTCTGAAAAAGTAAAATAAACTACTATACGGTTGATACCGATTCAGATAGATTTATGATTTTTTTTTGTAATTTTTTTTCAAGGCTATAAACACAAAGACTAATAAAATAAAATATAAAAGAGACAGTCTTTTATGGGTTAGAGACTGTCTTTTATTGGTTATCTTCCGTTACAAAATAAAATAAGCGACAGCAAAATGAATAATAAAGAATGCAAGAGAGAGAGAGAGACTCCTAATTAACAAAGAAGAATAAAGGAATGTGTCCTCGAAAACAGTTCTCTTTCCGGTGAATTACTGATTAGTCACACGTTCAGCAATGCTACAATTAAATATAAAAATTATTTTATAAGATGATTAAAAAATACCATGATAGTCACGATCGACAAACTCTAACCAATTGTTTAGGCAATCATTCAATTGGATGACCAGATACACAATTTTTATAATTGAATCTATATTCAATCGTCGATACAGTTATCACACTTTACTTGAGTATGACCTACATACCACCAAATACACACAAAATATACGTAACACTCATTCCACACGTGTGAGATTTTTTTTAAAAATTTATTTTTATGCACATAAAAAAAAAAATAATGTTAGAATAATTATAACTTTTTTTAATCAAATTTTGTTTATTATCTGTTACACACTTGCTACTATTAATACAATAGATGTGATGTAATGTAAATATATTAATATGGAAGAAAAATTGGTAAGTACAGCATTTTACAAATAAATAAATATATAAATAAGAAAATGATATGACAATTTTTTAAAAATTTAAAATAAATCAACCCAAACTTAATATATCACTGTGTATATTATTTTTTGGGGAAAAAACAATTCAAAAGAAATTTATAAAGAAAATTTGAGAACAGTAATAAAGCTTAGAGAAAATTGGTGATAAATCTAATTTAGAGAATGTCTAAGGTATTAAATTCAAGAGATATTTTTTACTGATAAAAAGTCCACGTTTTGTGAAATAGTTTAATGAGAAGTCTTGTAAGATATTTTGTTTTCAATTTTACCCTTTAACTTTTTTTATCTGTTGACTTTTCATTGACTATCTGTTCAAATTTCTTATCTATCTATTCAAATTTTTTGTCCATTTGTTCAATTTTTTCCATTTATATGTTCAAATATATGTCTAAATTTTATTATCTATTCAAATTTTATCTGTTAAAATTTTATTATCTATTGAAATACCAAGCAAACCAAATCTTATCTGTTAAAATTTTATCTGTGCAATTTCTCTATCTGTTAAAATATTTCTCACTATCTTTCTCTCTCCAAGCAATGAGATCTGTTCATTTACAATCTATTTCTCAACAACAACAAACAACAAGACTCCAATGAGATCTGTTTTTTTTTTATCTGTTCATTATAATCTATTTCTCATCAACAACAAAACTCCTCTAGATCTTCTGCAATAAGTAAAAAAAAAAAAAAAAGTACCAATCATACAACAAAAATAAGTAAAGAAAAAGATCTTCTACAATATTTTTTTTTATCTGTTCAATTTTCCACTTATCTGTTCAATTGTTTTTAATCTTTTCAACTCAAATTTTGTTCCTATCTGTTTTTCTATCTTTTTAAGTTTTGTATCTATCTGTTGAGAGATGTGAGAGTTATCTATTGCAATACCAAGTCAAACCAAACCAAACCAAACCTATCTATTAAAAAATTGTTATTTTTTTTCTATTTGTTCAAATATCTCTCCCCCATCTGTTCAATACACAAACAAGAAAAAATGATGCAATCTCTTTTATATTCATCAACATCAACAACATTAACATCAACAACAAAAAATAAGTAAAATAAAAAAAAAAAAAGAAACCAATCATACAAGTAGTATTGCATCATAACTGATCAAGATCTGGTTCTAGATCTTATCTTTTCTTTTCTTTTTTTTTTTTGAACAGAGGTTCCATATCTGGATCAACAAGAACTTAAGAGAGAGAGAGAGGTGGGAGAATTTGGTTCCAAATCTGGATTAATAGCAAGAACTTAAAAAAAAAAAAAGAAGGGAAGAGAGAAAGTCTGAGTTGAGAGAGAGACCAGATCTGACCGCGTGATGAGGGCGAGATGGCGACGACATGACCGCCGTGACGACATGACGGCCCGAGTGACAATGCGACGGCCGCAACGGCACGGAGTGATGAGCGACCGCGGTGAAGAGAGAAAGAGAGAGTGAGTGTGTGTGGAGAAGAGTGTTTTGATGATGCTTATCGTGTATAATAGAATATATATACTTGGGGATAGTTTGGTCATTTTGTATGGATGCCCTTATGGGCAAAGTAATTTAGAATGTGGGTCTTTGACTAAAGAAAATTCAGAATTGGACTTTTGGACAGAGTACCCTAAAGTTTATGAAATTTAATAATTAAAATGTTAAATTCTTTCATGAAATTGTAATTATTTTGGGAAGGTTCCACCTATGCTTAATTTCCTCTTATTTTTTTGGTTTTGTGTGTCTATAATTACTTTAATTATTTTTTTGATTTATTATTATTAATATTATTATTATGAGTTTGGTCTTGGTTTTAATTACTTTAAGGGTCTACTTGTCCCACCAAACAAATTAACAAATAATCACCTAACGAATCTAATACTGGACTTTCTGGACCAGAGCCAAGACACTCCTCTCTCTCTGTACACATATATGAAATTAATACGAAAGATCACTGATTCCTTATCTCTGATAGTAACAGCTTTACTACGTACTGCAAAAATAAAAGCCCTCTTCAATGAAAAACAATGCTAGCCACACCCCCCACTCCAAGTAGGTGTAGGATTGGTGTTATGAGGCCTGGGGCGAACCTATTTTTTTTTGGATGATTTGAATTTTTAAATTTTATAGGTTATTGAGTGGATTATATATATAAAAAAAATTAAGTTGATTGAACATATGTAATTCAATAACAAAATTACATTTGCATTTTAAAAAAATAATTAAAGTTTGATAATAGACTACATATATCCAATTAAACTCATTTTTTATTATTATATTTTAATAATTAATATGATCAACAAATTATACAATATAAATAATTTAAATAATCAAAATAAATTCGAAACAAACTCCATAAAATGTCACAACACACCTCCATGACCTCCCACCGGGTTATCCCATTTAATGGAGCCGCTACACATTATTAATATATAATCCTAACGTTTTGTAATAAAATAAATATTATAATATATTTTAATTTTTTAATATTTCATATCATTTATCATTACAATTTATTTATAATATTTTTATCATGCTGCCATTATATTATTTACAGTAATGTTACGGATCTAAACATAAAAATTCAAAAATTATCTAAAATTTTACATCAATAACTCAAATTTATATTATATATAAACCCCACATTTCATCGGTTCAACACATACACATATAAATTGTGGATTCCAAAATCTGGGACCTAGTTTTTTTGTTTAAAATGTGCATCATAAATTTGTCCCTATTTATGATGAAAAATGATGTAACACTTAATAAATTACTGAATGGGTGACCTCAACGGTGCTTCTGTTGTATTTTAGATCTGCAACGATTGGCATAATGACCTATCTGTCCACATTTATAACATTTAATTGTGATTTTTAAAATGTGCATCATAAATTTGTCCCTATTTATGATGAAAAATGATGTAACACTTAATAAATTACTGAGTGGGTGACCTCAACGGTGATGTAGATGCATAAGCAAGAAAGCTACCATAGACAAGCAGTACATGATCACAGAAAAAGAAAGGTTAGAGAAGATGATGAAGGATGGGTCATTACATACCTTGCTAAGTTGCAGTCATGGGGTTGCCAAGTGTAAGTGAGATAGTTTCGATCAGGGCGTCCATTTTTCTCGCAGTTGAACTCTCTCTCTATGAATGGGCATGTGGCGGAGTTGTAGACCGGGTACGACGATGGGTCGGACTCGGGTACCCACTTCCCTCGGAAGAAGTCGCATCCTCCAACATATTGGAGGGCAAGACTCAGCAGCGCAAACAAAATGCATTCAACCCAGAAACCCATCTGGAGAGAGAAAGAGAGAAGAGAGGTTTTGGAAGAGCAGGATTTATGAGAGGAGAAACCCCTCTCTCTCCCTCTTTCTCTCTCTGTCTGTACGTTTTCAAAATGTGCGTGTATACATTTATAGATATGTATGTGCTGTTCATACGTTTAGGTAGAAATTTGGAGAGAAAAAAAAGAAAATGAAAAGACATGCGAAATATGGAAATGTCTACTAATTCAAACTTAGAATTTTTTTTGAGTAGGTGATTATATAGTGAATATTAATTTGTATAGTGTGGAGTCTATATACGGTGAGTAATGTTAGATATCTCAAAAAATTTATTAAATTTTTTATCAAATGTCTCACGTGAATGTGAGACCTGTGTGAGTCTCATATTCATATGAGACCTTTAATAAAAAATTTGGTAAAATTTCTAGAATCTCTAGCATTTTTGTTAGAGCAATACTAGGGATACCACCAAATATATGACCAAAGGTCTTACATGGGTGTAGGGTCCGCAATTTTGTGGAACTCACACTTATATGAGACAGTTAGTTATTTGTTTGGTAAAAAATTTAAGACCTATAACAATTTCTTTTTTGATACAAGATCTATGTGAAATATGGTAAAAATTAACGACAATGCTACGTAGCTCAAATTTTGTGGCTCAAATGGCCAAAACGACGTCGTTTTGAGTACAGAACAACATAAAAATGGCCAAAACGACGTCGTTTTGACCATTTGAGTCACTTTTGAGCCACAAAATTTGAGTTACGAGACATTTTTCAAAAATTAATTTTTGGATAATTTTTGAGTTGTTAAGGTGAGTTTGTACCATTACATGTGAAATATACCTATTTGAGTCAATAGCACCTCAATTGCAATTAATTTTCCTGCATATTCAAAATTTAATATGGAAAATATAAGAAAAGTATCCTCCATAATATATATTTTTTTAGATTTGATAATATTTATTGATATGTTGTTATCATTTATTATAATTAATAAAGTTAATTAATAATTTATTTTTAAAAATTACATAAACTCAAAAAATGTTCATGTATTTTTATCAAATATTAAGGGTATTATATATTTCTATCAAATTAGGGGTGTTTGCCTTTGTAATGTGATGGTCCCCGAATTCAATTAAACAAAACTGCACTTCTCACTGTTGTGTGGCAATATGAGCCTATTTAGGGTTCTCTTTCGATAATTTAAATCGTTTATATTTTAAAATATATTGACTATAATTTATGTGTAAAAAATTAAGTTAATCAAATTTTGTTAATCCTTTCATCCATTCATATTTATATTCATTTTTATATTTTAAATCACAATTTCCATTTATTTTTGTAAATATAAATGTAATTTGATGAAATAGTTAAATCTCTAATTAACTTATTTTTTTACAGACATATTCTACTTGATATATTCTAAATGTAAATAATTTAGATCATCAAAACATGTCAAAAAAAATAAGCTCATATAACCCACCCCATTTCCTTCTTTTCTTGACACACCCACAAATATTATTGCAATGTATAAATAAATTTCACTGATCTCCCACAACCGGTCACATTAAAAAAAATTACATAATTATAATAATAAATAATAGCGCATCTAACATTCACATGGGCTGAACTTGTGCAAGATGAAGCTGGGGCTAGACATCCCACTATTCACTTACAAACATAAATATAAACAGTGAGCTAACGCTCAGTACATAATACCCAAGCAGAGGAGTTCATGAACAAGATTCTTATAATCATAATTCACTATTACGCTTAGTAATCAATGTTAAAGTAGAATGACCTCATGTCTTTTCTATCATATCCCAAACACAAAACGACCTTGGGTGCATCATAGGCGAAACGACCTTGTGTCCAATTTACACTCAAAACAACCTTGGATCCATTTCATATACACATTTGTGTGCATACATTTAGATCCATGGTCATATATTCATCCTTGTATCCAAAACGACCTTAGGTCTATTCAATTTCTTATTCTGAACAGCCTTCGGCCTATTTAACAATTATACAGAATGGCCTTAGGCCCAATCTACATCCTTACTGAATATACTGAACGACTTTAGGCCCATTTCATACTTCGTCAATCACTTCGCATATTTCATTTCGAATTAAGTGATTAGAATACTCATTCATAATGTCACTTCAAAGGTTTAGAACCTTACCATATAGGCGTCATTTAGAAAATAATGTATATACAAAAATATGAAATGGGCCTGATTCATCAAAAATACTCCTTCGTCAAAAATATTACGCACAGTGTTCTGGTGCTTGATTCGTCCTTGCACTTGACCTTACATAATTCATAATACATTGGGTCATAATACAATTCAATCTGTTCTTTCGTTTACTTAACTTTCTTAGGCCTCTTTCACGCCCTTTTAACTCATTTCGAATTCTTAATGCGTGTCCAAGAATGTTTAGAAATGGAAGAGAACGGAAATTGGAACATAATACTGTTTTTCAAAATTTTTTGAAACAGGGCACCTCGCTCGAGCGTAGTTTTGGTTGCTCAAGCGGTCTGTAAAACTTTGTGAAAGTACTAGTTGCATGAATTTTATGCTTGAGCAAGACTTCTATCGCTCGAGCGATGAGCCAAGTAAAACAGGGCTCGCTCGACCGCAAGGTTTGCTACTTGAGCCACCTTGCAATTCTTTGTAAAATTTCTGGGAGTCGCTCGAGCGAACAGGCCGAATTCTGGAATTTCCAGGATTGTGTTTGAAGCTCAAACTTGATGTTCAAAGGTCCAAAGCTCATGTTTTTAGTACAAAAACATGGAAAGACATTACATAGCATGAGAATATAGGTAATTTTAGACCAATTGTCCAAAACCGTGATCCAATTCTTAATTCACCTCATATTCTTCTTGACAACTTTAAGACACATACAACCAAGCTTCATAACTACATGGATTTTGCATGCATGTGTGATATAAATTGTAATACCATTTCAAATAGCACAAATGATGCTCATAATCATGAGCTCAACAAAACTATGCTTGCATGTATGATTTGGTACTTAGTTTTTCTTATTTAACTTGCTACATGCTTGATTATGCAATTCCATGGCAACTCTCTACATGCATGGTTATATTGACTCAAAATTCATCATCATCAGCTCAATTCTTGTTCTTGGTCACATCATCTAATTAATTTGGTCTAAATCAGTTTTTAATTAAATTTCACCATAGGCTCTAAAAATCATGAAAATCATATAAATACGGTTAGTTTCAGTTTTTGTCGCCTCTACGGCTTTTAATTAAATTTTTTGTAGCAGATATTCAAATAGATTTTCCTACGGTGAATAGATAGAATTTCAAAAGCACATGTAATCATATAAATGGCATTCAAAATCATATTAAGCAAATAATCTCAATCGTAATTAAGATTCATTAACATAACACAGGACAGGGTTATCATAATCTTCTCCCATTTAGGAAGTTTGGTCCGCCAAACTTATTTTACCTTCATCCGGAAACAAATGTGGATAGCGTAGTCGTATCTCATTCTCTTTCTCCCATGTAACGTCCTTCCCATAATGTTCGTTCCATTCTACTTTCACCATTGGGATGGACTTATTTCTCAATTGTTTCACTTGCCGATCAATGATTTGTTCTGGCCATTCTTCGTATTCCATATTCTCATTAAGTGCTATCCGGTGATAATCAATTACATGGAATAAATCTCAGAGATAACCCCTCAACATCGATACATGAAATACGTCGTGCATTTGTTCGGATCCCAGTGGCAAAGAAACCATATAAGCAATTGGACCAACCCTTTCCAGAATTTGAAATGGTTCAATGTAACGAGGTGAAAATTTGCCTTTCTTACCGAATCTTAATTGGCCCTTCATCGGGATCCCACGAATAAATATATGATCACCAACCTCATACTCAAAAGGTCTTCTTCGGACATCCGCAAAATTCTTTGGCCAACTCTGTACTGTCTTGAGCCTTTGTTGGATGATCTTAATTTTCTCGGAAGTGTCTTGCATAATTTCAAGGGCAAGTAAGGCTCTATCTCTGACTTCTGTCCAACAAATTGGCGATCTACACTTTCTACCATATAGGGCTTCGTATGGCACCATGCCGATGCTGGAGTGGAAACTATTATTGTATGCAAATTCTGCTAGTGGCAAATAATCTTCCCAACTCCCTTGAAAATCTAAGGTACACATTTTGAGCATGTTTTCCAAGGTCTGTATGGTTCATTTTGATTCTCCATCGGTTTGTGGATGAAACACGGTACTAAATCTCAGTTCTGTTCCCATAGCTCTTTGTAAACTTTTCCGCAATCTAGATACAAATTTCGAATCTTTATCCGAGACAATGGACACCAGAACCCCATGTAGGTGAACAATCTCATCAACATATATAGCAGCCAGTCTGTAAGCATCAAATGTAGTTCTAATAGGTAGAAAATGTGCAGACTTAGTCAGTATATCAACTACAACCCAAATAGAATCCATACCTCGAGGAGTTCAAGGTAGACCAACAACAAAGTCTATGGTCACATGCTCTCATTTCCATTCCGGAATAGGGAGAGGTTGAAGTAGACCGCCCGGATTCTGATGTTCAGCTTTAACTTGCTAACATTGAAGGCACTTGGTCAACTCCTTATTCCCCATTCTATCTGCCACTCATCATAAGTGTACAATCAAAATACTAAGCCTCCGTGTCAATCCACTAGCCATCGCTACTACTGAACAACTACCTTAAACCAAGCCCTGGCACAATCGTATGTCACCGACAAGGCTTTCAAAGACTCACCATCGTAACTCCCCAGAAGAGAAAAAGTCCTCACCCTCCTCGCCGTTATCCCAAACATTCCTCCATAACACCATACCACTGTGACCCCACACGCGGGTCACGCCCTAACTATGAGTTTTATGCCCAACCAACCCTTTCGACAGCATCTCCTGACTTAACCAAAA